AACCCAAACTATTCTATGATTCTATGTTAGCATAATGTTTTTACTTAGGTTGTTTTTTTTGCTTTCCTTTTTTCTGTCTCTACCTTCCTGAATTATGAGCTCAGAGCCCTTGTGTTTCACTCCTTGACCTTGTATCTTGTAAGACAAGACTCATTTTTCAGTTTAAGTTGTAGACTTGGTCAATAGGGTAACTCCGTGCTGACAACTCTTGCTAATCTAAAGATGCCACAAATTATTGTCAAGCAAAGAAAATACCACTCGGAACTCTAGTCATGAAGTGTTTTGCTGAGGGCAAGCAAGCTGTAAGTGCACAAATGTTAGTGCAACAAGACCTGAGGATCTATGGCTTTAAAGCTATACTGACAGTCCTGCAGAGGTGGCCAAGCTGGGTAAGAGAGATGGGCAGGTAAACTACTTAATACTGAAATAGAAGAAATCTTTCCTTCAAAAGCAGGGACTTCATAAAGTTGACAGCATCTGGCCTCGGACATCAACTATATTCCTAAATAATAAATGAAAATTTTGAACTCTTGACACTTTGCATTTATGCCTCATTTGTAATCTGCAAATGAAGCAAGGCAGGTATAAGACTGCTTGGTGAAGTTTTCCTCTGAACATTGAATTACCTTCTGCATGCTTTTTAGTCTAAGTCTGAGACTGAAAATTACTCATCTTGAACTTTGTTTCTTAATTGGCTCCAAGACATAGGAAGGTGACTTTTTGTTAACCACAAGGATTAGAGAGCATCTTTAAGACTCTATTCTGCCCACTCAAAGCATTTACTCAGTCCTGATTAGCAGACTTACGACTACGATAAGTTTTGATTTGACCAGTTTTGCTTTCAGTAATTGCAGCTTAAGACAGGAAAGCCTTCTTTATTTGGTTCCTTGAACAACACAATTCTTTGCATTGTGTGGGTAAGCATTTTAGCATCAGCTTCTTCATTCAGACTTAGTCTCTAACTAGATCTGATGGCCCTGTAGTTTGCTGTTCTTTAAATTACATAGAAGTAATTCAGAAGAAATGGGTACTGAATAGCCATTTAGCATAGTAATAACAGGGGTGTTTACTGGTATAGTAAAATAAGATGAAACAGAAAATTAACTACATGAAAAAGGCTTTGGAGTGTTCACATACCTAACACAGCCTTATCCTCATAGGATCAAGAAATGAACAGTCTTCAGAACTGGGCTAAACGTGTTCTTGAGCTTGAAGAAACAGTGTCTTCCCTGCAAAAAGAACTTGAGGAACGGAAAAAGCATTTCTCTATAGAGGAGCTAAAACAACAAAAACCCAGGAAAGGTTTGTTGGCTAACCTGAAATCCACAGTAGCGGCCACTGCTAGTACACCTCTTGGTAAAGGCTGGGGGAAGTATGAAGATGCTTCGTCCTCTTCAAGAAAACAAGTACTGTTGGCTCATAAAGCAAAAGAATAATATTTGATTAATCAATGTGCAATTACTGGGCTTCTTCATCAATCTTAAACTGTTGGTAGCTTTTTCTCATTCTCAGATGCCATCTTCACTGTCATGTTAACTGGCAGAAAAATGTTAAATACAGAACTGTTTTAATTGAATCAAGGTTGAATTTAGAGCTATGTAAGTATAGACCTAAACTTGTGCTTTTACTGTTGATATAGTGATTTGAGAAATAGATATATATAATTTTAATTCTTGAGTAACTGCTATCATGGTCTTCTATACTGATAAATGTGCGATTCGTGCAACGTGGTATGTTCCTCATGTGTTGCTTTTGTCACCTTTTTAAATAAAGTATATAATTTTCATTGTTGATTCCTAGAAGTCAGATGGCTTGTAAGCTTAATCTCAAGTAGTTAAAATAGCTTGGTTCTTCAGTTAATATTCTGGCTTTGACCTGGAAATTGCATCTTGGGACCAAACTGAGCAAATTGCTAAACATAAGGCCTCATAAAAGAGGCAACAACATGAGGTCTAATCTGGCTTCTTGCTATTTTTCAGCTAACTTGGCTTTGTAAAGGAACTTTTTTTAATATCATTTGAATTTCCACTAAGAATATGCATTAAACTTTGAAAAATCTATTTATAATAAAATTTTCCATTGCTAAATTAAGCTCTGACTGTTCATTTTATAAAGCTGAGAAAATGTGTGAAATCAAGATAAGGAAAGATCATAAACTTAGAGGCCAAATGATCGTGGTGATTGACGTATGATGTTCTTGAGTTGAAAGAATCATAGACCTGATTATATTACTTACCTTAATCTAGTAACTCAACGAAGGAAGACTGGAGCACGAAAAAATTTGAAATAGCTTTCTTAGAGCTATTTCAGCCAGTGAGAGTTTTTCCTAACTACTGTGAAAGTACCATGCCTGTAAGTGCAGGAGAATTGCTTGAGAACAAGGCAGAATCTGTGAGTAAATTAGATTGATCAGTTCCTGTAATGCTGTTTCACATAGTGGAAGGGGACCCAGCTCAGAGCAAGAACCTCACCCTCCCTGTGGAGACACTAGGTGGTGCAGCCTTCCTGCCTGACACTGAGAACAGCCCTTCTCTGGTGCGAATGTTCTTGCCAGGTCTTTTGCGTTTCGGGTTGGTCTGTGCAAATGCAGTGGTAAGTAATCACTCTGACTGTCTTTAACCCGGTTGGAGATGCAGCACTTGAGCCAGTGCTGTTTTCATGTTTTGAACTCTGTTAAATATAGGTTATCTGGCTCCAGTAGTTCTAAAGGCCTATAATCCCTCCAGGGTAGAATTTCTCAAATATTACTCTACTCCCACACAAACTATTCCAGCTATTAAAAAATATTTTGGTGTAGTGCTACAATACACTGAGTGTTGATCCCTTGAATAAGAAAGCTGTTAGTACAAATTGCTCTAAGAACAGCAATTTTCGAACAGAAGTTTAAAAAAAAAAATCATCAAGTCAGGCTAATGCTGGAAACTTTCTATAGCACTGGATCACTTGAAATGGTATTACACCTTGACAGTCTGTCACTTGTCTGAGAGCATATGTTAGCAAGTTTATGTAACACTAACCATAACCTCTTATTCCCTGAGCAACTGCTGTTTGCATGTTCCTTCCTACTTCCCAGCTCTTTGGTTGGCTACAGGAAATGGTTTGAAAGACAAGGTTACATTATCTTAAGCTTTTTTTTTTTCCTTAAAATAAAATGAAGCCTGTAGTGAAGTACTGACCGATTCTTAACTGTAATGTTTTCTAAAGAGTTGCAATGGACTGTGTTGCTATTACATTAAAGGCTTCTGAGAAGCTGTTTTAAAGGACAGCTGGGGACTGACTTCTCTTCCTGCTCTCCACACTAAAAAGAAACCCTAACAAGGATGCAGAAATGGCTGGTTCAGTCCTTTTCAGCTTCTCAAAGCCCAATGGATGTAAAGAAAGCAGAATCCATTAATATTTACCATTGCAAAATAATCTTGTTAGTGGTGATGAACAGATGTTCCCCTGTTCCCCATGAAGCTACTACTCTGCATAGAGCATCAGCCATTTGTTTTATCTCAAATTACTAGCATACAACTTGCTTCAGATTAAGTGTTTATTAAAATTAAAAATCACCATACAATAGAAACTATTTACATTTAACTGATAGTCTGCTTAAACTGCACAGTTTGAAGGAAGCCAATGGAAGAGAAAAGCAATGAGTATTTATGCTGTTGAACTTCAACTGCAGGCACACTGAAGCTTTATCAAAAGGGTTTTAAGCTTCTGCAAAGTACCACTGCCTAAATAATTGGGCTGAGGGGTGGCAAAGATGTACTGGGTTTCAGTTGTAAGAACAAGTGTCACTTTGGAGGGGAAAAAAAAGTAATCTATGCTGTAGTTACATTGCAACTCCACTAGCTCAGCTGTTTTGGTAAGTAATTTGATAGAACAATTCCATATGTAGAGCTTAGCAAACTGTGTTCACTTTCATGAATTAGATTTATATACTGAGCAGTAAGCCTATAGTGTCCCTGCAATGTAACTTGATATCCTATTGCATATTTCCCACAAATTGTTTTTGATAGTCCTAGGGCTAGTTTTAGCTTTAAAACAGATTTGAGGTTAGTTGATTAAAGCAGCAAAAACATAAGGGATATTCTTGAATAATCACAGAGGATTAAAAGTTAAGATTAAAATGCTAACACTCTGGATGGATCACTGGTAACAGTCTCAGCGACTGCCATGAAAGTATTAACTTCCTTCAAAATCCTGTGCTTTCCCATGGACTTCACATGATGATTTTGGCCTTGCGGGAAAGTGAAGGTTGAATACAGAGCTAGGTGTGCTGCTGCTTCTGCCATCATGTGTGTTCCTATTGCACTTCTGCATCTGTGATGGCTGTGTGATGCCTTGAAAAGGATTTTAAATTTGAGTAATACAGCAGTAAAACAGAATCATCTTCAGTGTAAATAATTACATACATAACCCTTCCTTAAGGGAAATCATGACACTGTTTAGAAAGTCTTACAAGAGGTGACAGTACTCCAACTACGAATGTGAAATAACAAGGATATAAAAATAATTTTCACAATATGCTGTATTTCAAAACAGATAATTTAAGAACATCACCATGTCTTAAATCTGTAAGTTCTCCTTCATGACTTTTTCTTTTGAAAACAGCTGTTCATGCATCTTCTCACCCCTTTTATAAAGGTCTCCTTCTAATGTATTCCATGACTTAGATCCTAGGAAGGCATTGTCAAACTGTATCGGTGCATGATCGCTTTCCTTCCTTCTCCCTCCCCACCCCAAAAAGCCTGCTTGGTTTGGGATGTTTTCTGTTGATGCAAAACCCAGAGCATTTAAGGAGAACTTCAATCTTTAGAGGAACTGTTTTAACCAAATAAAAACATTATTATTTCTTTGCAGAATTACTCTTTCCTTCAGCATTTCAGCTTCCACACTCGGTTAAGACATCCAAACTCATGAAGTAATTGGTTTGAGCAGTCTGTCGAAATAATAGTCTGTGCCAATGAGCCATGTCAATAGAAAAAGTGTTCTTTGTTCTATGGCTGTTGTTGATACTGCCCTTCTGTTGCTGTGTAGAAGTCATCAAGCACACTCTGTAAATAATCAAATGTTGGCCTCTCTTCTGCTTTGTCTTTCCAGCATGTTTTCATGATATCGTAAAGCTCAGCTGGACAGGTTTCCATGCGTGGCATTCGGTACCCGCGCTGAAGAGCAACCATCACATCTGAATTGCTCATACCTTCAAGAGAAAAAGAAAGTTTTCATCAAATGATCTCAATTCCCAAGGAAACAATTTTTTCTTTTTTATTTACTTCACTCTAAAGATCTTCACCCAATAATACAAGGCTATTACTACTTACTAAAGGTAGCTACTAATACGAGATCAATAAACAAGGCTAAGGTGTGTTCCAGAACCGAGGGACTTGCTTTGAAAATCCTGGGGGAAGATTTCCATTTCCCCAGTTGAGTGTAGCGACCTCTTTAGTGCCAAGTCTAACAAGACTGTGGGGGAGATCATAATTCTTGTCTCTAGAACCAGCTCCGTTCTGTTCCTTTCCCCAGTCCTGCCACCATTTGTTCTGCTCCCAGCAGTGGTGAGTTCAAAGCAAAAGCCCACCCTGGCATCAGCCTTTGTCTCTTAGCTGCAGAACTTCTAACCTGCTTGCTGTAGACCCCATCCATACTAAGACAGAGAGCAGCCTGCCGTGCTCCCAGTCACCCTGCCCAATGTAGTAACACACTTTCAGACTTTCTTCTACATCAGCTTTTGTGTAAGTGCTGCTGATTGCAAGATACTGAACGCTGTCACTCGTGATATTGTTACTTGTAACAGGCAATTTCCCCTCCCTTCTTTCTCATCCTATTCCTATTGTGCAAAACCATCTTGCCAGCTGTGCTGAGCTTCGCTTTGTTTCCCCATTACAGTTTTCTTTCAGAGGATAAGAACGCTAGCTACCAGAAGTGCATCCCGAGCCTCACATGCCAACTAACGTCACAGGAAAGAGGCCTGCTCTGGACTCCATCCTCCTCCTCTCTTCCCCCCGCCCTTCCCTTTTTTTAAATCCGTGAGAGCCTGGTTCACGGAACGATTTCGACACCTACTCTCAGAAGGTCAGCTATGGCAAGGCCAACAAAAAGGCTCACCACTTCCTACCCAGAAACCTGCCTTGCAGCTTGTCCCTTCCTCTGCAAATCTTATGCAACCCCGTGGAGTAATTGTGCCAGGATTACCTTCTCCAGGACACAGACTCTACGCTTTCTGTACTCCAGTGAACGCTGTTTCTTCCGATGACTGGGCACGCCCGAAGCACCTGTGCTTCAGCCTAGATATTTGCTACCACCAGTGAAGACTTTCCCTCTATCGAGAAGGGTATTCCAGACCCCACAGCCGCTGGCCGCTCCTCAGGCTAAATGCTCCACGTGGTGCAGTTCTGCCTAAGACTACAGTTTCTCATGTTTTTTCTCAGGCAACTCGGCCTCCGGTCAGGTGCGTGCGTGTCATTCACTGCTCCTGCTTACGCCAGTTCCCCGGAGGTGCGGGGAGAGCAGCTACGCTCTGCTGAGAGCAGGCAGGACAGGTCCTGCTCTGAGCAAGGTCGGCAGCGGAGATGCAGATGTGGTGCTCCCCTGAGTGCTTGGTGACTGTACAGCTCTGTTGCTGCAGACTGTGCGGATCTTTGTACGTGTTATCTGACTACTAAAGCTATGATTTAAGCCACTTGGCAGGTAAGGACGCATTTGAATTACAACTAAATGACAACTTTATCCGGTATAACTATTTAGATCATTCAAGATGATTATAGTTCATATAGTTGACTTCAGTTCAAGCCTTTTGGCTTTAACCTATTCTAGAAATACTGTCAGCCATGAAATCTGGGTCTGGATCAGTAAGATGTGCTTACTTTGGGCACATCTTTTGTATTTTCAGTTCTGCTTTGGAAGGAGAAGTGAAGTTTTTCTGAGCTAACATTGCACACGGGTATAGAAAAACAGTATTTTGAAGGTAGCAGTGGAATGGCATGTTGTCACAGAATAAGGAATTACTGCTATATAAAGACAAAATAAATGTAGGAAGAAAGTCGATAAAGCATTTTGGAGAGAACAGTAATCTGACTGCTTGAGCTTAAAGAAATGGATTGTATTTAACGTAAATAAACTGCAGTAAAACAGTTATTCATACTATGCAAACGCTTAGTTAACTGTGCGTAATGCATGAGGACTGCTGCTACTGGGTTTTGCGCAGAACGGGGCTGATTCTGGGGGTTTAAGTACTTTATAGGATTGTGCTTAGATCTAGTGTCTGCAGGACTGATTGTTACATTCTGAATGCCAAGGACAAAGCCCGTGTTTCAGCTAACTTTCAGGAAAACTATCTATCTGTTAAATAACTATTTATGTTCACAAGACAAAAATGAAGACTTTTATCAGTATTCTACAGTAAATACAATGTCATGAACATACTCGCATATGTTTCGGGTTTTATTTAAAAAAAAAGGCTTACATGTATACCCCACAGTCCATGCAGTATTCTCAAAATAGCTACTTGTTTAACTTTTTCTTTTTTTTTTTTTTTTTTTGTGCCTAGAGAATTACCTGTCTCATCAAAACTACATCCTAATCAGTAAAAGAAATATATTCCACATGCATATTTGTTACACTTGCACCCTCTTAAATGCTAGCAAAGGACATTAGCTCTAAAGGTTTGGTACATGTCTGTTAATTTACACTGTGGTACCTGTTAAGTGTCACAGATAAAGACATATTTACTTATGTTAGAGCCTGGGAAATTATGTGAACGCAGTGGTATGCAGTCAAGAGGCTTCTGCTTCTAATTGCTGGTTGACAAATGAATCCACAGTGTATGGCCTATTTATGGTGCTCATAAAAATGCTCCCATATTAAGAAAAAATATTGCCCAGACTTCCCCTAGAAGAGATATTTTCCCACAGTAGTACAGCAATACAGTGTCTGCTGTACAGATTGAGTTTTTTCTTAAAATAAAAATATGATATGTTTTACGGAGGCAAAGAGAGAGCAGACTTAGCTGCAGAATTAAGTATTGGATTGGGTTTTGTATTTTTGTAGTGCTGGTTTCCAGGTGACCTCGTAGGTTTGCTCAGGGAAGGACAATTTTCAAGGCATCTAGAAATAACCTTGTGAGCCCAGCTCAGCCTAGGCCACTGTCTGGATACATAGGCAAGTGCTAACGGGGAAAAAAAAGTATCCCAACTCTGGGAAGAACCATGCATTACTTGGCTGCATACAACTCCCATCTGATCCTTCCTGGGGACATGAGCAGTGTTTAGAACAGCCTTGGGAGGACCTGCTACTCAGTCACATATTTTATAGCCCTTACCTAAAAACCAATCTGGAGCATATGTTTAAACACTTAGCTGTGCAAGCAGCCCTATCATCTCTTGAAGTTTAAGGGGGCTACTCTTGAGCTTAAGTGCTTTCCTGGACTGGAGCCTTACCAAGCAATGAGAATGTCTGGTTTGGCTCTACTTTGTATATGGGAAGTTGATGTGTTCTTCCATAACATAGTGTAAAGTTGGCCACCATCACCCCTTCCCCACTGCTCGAGTCTCACTGTGCCCAGAGATGTTGAGCCTACTGTCATTTCAGGACCTGGGACTCGGGCCACCCAGGTCTGCCCCTTTGACATCTTTAGCAGTTCAGGATGCAGAATTCCAGCTGCTCAGGAAGTGGTGGTGAAAAATGTTTTCACTGTTTAAACAGCAAGAGCTGCTGCACTGGAAGCACTGGGAAAGCTTTGCTCTCCCTTTACTGCCTGTAAACTGCAGGATCCTAAGGGTTCTTCTCCTAAGTCACTCCATCTATGAGATGTGCAGTACAGGTGAATATGGCTGTACTTTCCCCATTTGCCCACAAGATAAAAGAATTTAGGTTAATTTTCCATAACCTCAGTAAGCTTAAATGAATGCGGTATGCTACCCTGAGTTAATCAGCTATGCCTGAGATGTGACAATTTGGTGTGCAAAAATATCCTTCATACAAGCTGTTTCTGTGCGCTGGAAACATTAATATGTATTTTGTTTAACAGAAAGAAAAACAAAGCATAAAGCACATAACCCTTTCACAGCTACTTAATACAGCTATGATTGATGTATTCCTCTGTGGTCTCGTACCTGAACCGTATAGAACAATGAAGAGTAAATATTCCTAGCGGTACATCAACGCTGTTTTAGGGTCTGCTTTCATATTTGTTTAGATTAGCTAACACTGACAAATTATTACAGCCTATTTGCTTGTGAAAACACACTTTCTTAGTACTTTCACATATTACAATACTAAAAAAGCCCAGCGGCTTACACAGCACCATTAGAGACTGCGCTGCTGACCATGAAGCCGGGATCTGTGACAATTCAGCATTTGCTGCAGTTGTAACACCTTTTGAATATATAAAAATGACTACTTGCTCATGGTGCCATTAGTCTGTTTGCTAAAATTTACCCCAGAGAGGCACGTAGTTTACAGATACGGTGACTGTAAGTTTTCAAAGCAATAAAATTACCTGCAAGACATTTTCCAAATCACTGCTGTCGCTACTGTCAGATGCCAGCTCTTTGCCTGCCTATTTTCTTTGCTTTTTAACACCAAAGTATAAATACAGAGTAACGGTATAAACACATGCCCATACCTGGATAAGGAATCTTTCCGTATGTAACAATTTCATACAGGAGAATCCCAAATGACCACACATCAGATTTAATAGTGAAAGATCCATAGTTAATTGCCTCTGGTGCTGTCCATTTAATAGGGAATTTTGCACCTACAAAAAAGTACAGTCTCAATCAGTCAAAGTCAAATTTAAGCACTCGCTATCAAGTCACCAAAAGGTCTTAAACGACTTGCCTATGATACCCCTAAATTAGCAAAGTTACCAGCAACTCCTTCTGTCCAAAGTCACCAGCAGAGATGTGCTGCAGGATGCACGCTGCCACGCTGCATGTCCCGTGTCAGAGGTGCAAATAAGACGCCGAAAGTTACATCGCACCTTCTGACTCCTAGGTATGGTGTATTTTTGCTAAAATTACAGTCACCATTTTCCATTTTGCCCAGTGGTCAGGCAACAATCTTACAATTCCCATCACCTGGCACTTCGCAAGACTTTAACTAACTTTTCCTATTTTAAAGGAAGTCAGTCTAGCTTCAACATACACTTTAACGCATTTCACATTCAGCCATAGATGCAAAAGCAATAGCAAGTCATATCTTAAACAGTCATATCTTAAAATACTGTCTGTCATGTCTAATTAATTGATTCCAGAAAATTCCATATAAAAGCAAACTCCTTGCAGCTAAATAAGAAAAATTCAAGCAGCCTTTGTTGGGGAATATTACATTAGCTCTTCAGACAATGAAGAATAATACAAGCAGATTCTCTCTATGCCCTTTTTAGCCTGCTCTATCATTCTGGCACAAAATACCAGGTAAGCTAGGAACCTTTTCTGAATGGCAGAAAACATTTATAACCTGAAATGTTCATTTAATCAATATACAATGTCCAGAGCTAGCTAAAAATCTCAAGATATGGGTTCTGTACCTCTGAAAACTGCTTGATCGGACCCTTCCCTCTGATCTATTGAATTACTGTTACCCAGTGACTGCTGAATAGCTCATCTTCCTTTAATCTCAACTGTAGTGCATTGTTCTCTTTCTTCCCCATACCTTAGTTCTTGCCCTCTCGTCCTACATTACCAGTTTCCATCCAGACTGTGTGAAAATATGCGGTAGTGTCTTTAAAACGAGAGGGGGAAAGCCAGCCAACAAACCTGCCCCGGAAAGTTACCCTAATGCAATCCGTGCATGGAAGCATAAATAAAAACTTTTCACTACAACAAATTGACTACGCACTTCTTAAAAGGATCCTTGACAACATGAGCAAAACATACATGGCAAAACCCAGACAAATCTCTTTAACAGTATGATTTCCCCTCTTGCAGTCCTGACCCTGCTGCGATGTTACCTCCCATCCGTGTGCTGAACAGGGACATGACCCAGTTTTTTGTAGCAGCAATGCTGCTGAACGCGCAAAGCAATGCTGCAGTTCCTAAAGCAGCTTCAAAAGATAACCAGTTCTGCTAAAGGTTTTTTTGTTACCAGCAACTACACGTGTTAGGGCTCCTTCCTTTCCCTAAGTGAAAGGAGGCGCATATGGCACTTCATGATGTGAAGAGAAAATAAGATCACATTTTCTTTGGGATTCAGTGGGATGGAAGCTGTGGGCGTGCAATTAATTTGTTCAATTTAGAAAAATTTCTATGCAGTTAAGTACTCTAATTTTCTTTGTTCTTCAAATTTATTTAAAATAAATAAACTTTTCAAAAAGCCTGGGGAGCACAGAAAGGTTATTTCTTTCCTTACTCTTTTTAGAAGCTGTTGGCATTAGAATGCTGCCTCTGGGAAGTTGTTGCGGCATTTTCTGTCCTTGGTGACCATATTACCGTTAGATACAGCCTCACTGCCTCCCAGAGGCTGAAGTTTTAAAGACAAAAATAAAAATACATACCTTCCCTTGCTGTATATTCGTTGTCTTCGATGACTCTTGCTAGTCCAAAATCAGCAATTTTGCACATCAGTAAGTCCGAAACCAGAACATTTGCTGCTCTCAAATCTCGATGGATATAATTTTTTCTTTCTATGTATGCCATCCCTTCTGCAATCTGTAACAAAAGAAACAACTATTTTGATATTTCAACACCACACAACACCATCAGCACGTCTGAGCTCTCTGTTCTTTCAATGTATCAGCAAAGCCGCATACATTTATTCCTTACCAGTATCTTTGGAGCAATTTTTAGATGTAAGCAAGGAAAGGGTGATTGCCACGGAAAACTTATGTGTAGATCCAGTCCTGCAAAACTATACTTACAGTAGTAGCTTCAAAAGAATTGTTTGGGTGACTAAGAGCTGGCAGGATTAGAGATATGTATCACAGACATTTCCTGAAACAAAATCTTAAATAAAATGTTCCTAAGATTTCTACTAAAATATTCTCTTCCACAAACTATTAACCGGTTTATTTTCCAAATACTAAGAAAATGGAAGGAATTAGCAAGTTAAACAAGATACAGATACTCTTTTAAGGACTGATGAAACAACAGTGCAGACAGAGTTAAAAAAAACCCAACAACTTTCTATTTACCCAGTATAGGCGTGGACAATCAGGAAACAATTACTAAGATAGGGCAAACAACTTTATCTTTATTTTCTTCTACAACAACATGTACCTGTTCATACACGAGGAGTGTTTGGCAACAGCCAACTCTCAGATGCTATCGTAAGTAAATTTAATTTGTATTTCAGCAGCCCAAATTAATTTCCAAACCAAATTAAAGATGATTACTGTCCTCAAAATATGCACGATGATTTTTTCAGTATTTGCCCAGACTACCATTTTGTTTCCCCTGCGGAAAAACATTTTATTTTTTCAGAAAAAAAGAAACTGAAAGAATAGTTTCTGAAGTCGGAGCAATAAAACTGATGCGTAGATAGTATTCTGTCCAGAAGTTTAAGAGGAGCTAGGAAAAAAAGAAAAATAAACCCTGTGCTCGTGAGCTGTCAATTTTTCTCTCCCTTGTAAGAGTCTAGTGACGGGTCATTCCCAGGCATTCCCGCGGTCCAGCCTGTGCCGCAGGTACCTCTCCAGGATGTCTGTGGGTGGGAGACAGACAGCTCGCTCTCGGCCACATGGTTTGGGGAACGCACAAGCTCTCAGATTTGCTAACGAAGCAGCAGTAAAGCAGTAAGGGTCCTTCTCCAGGGCCACGCTCATACACGGGCTCTTTCCTCTCCACCTCAGGAGAAGACAAGGGCACGGATCCCTTCTCAGCACCAGAGGTGCTCATTTCAGCCGTGCAGTAAAGCAGACAGGAGCACCTAACCAAATTTTAAGAAAACATTAACATCACTTCTGCTTATCCATTTTTAAAAAGTCCCCGAGGGGTACTGCGAAGGCACACACGCCATCGCTTACAACACAAAACCACACGGTCTTCGTTCCTCTTTTTTGGTTTAGGCCATGGAAAAATAGAGCCACTTGCCCTCCCACTGCAAACCTCTTCTTACAAACCGATATATTCTTCAGAGCAGAGTGTTACACTGCTCTCGTACAACGCAGCGGGGTTCTCACACTAAGCCAGAAAGAAACTCGGGTGATGAAAAGAATGAAGAACACCTGCCTTTCACATTTTCTAGAAATAAGTAAGATGTTTTATAATGAAGGAAGCAGCTACTAGTGAATAATTGCCACAGAGAGTCTTACTAGAGACTTGCAGACAAAATAGAAGAGTAGTATTTGATTAGAGCCTGCTCTGCCTCTCTCTCCTCCCCATGCGATTACTTGGGTTTGGGGAGGAATGAGAGATGAAAGGGAAGGTTTTGCTGGAAGATCAGTGCTGAGATTGGACCGACCAGCTTGGCAGATACGACCGAAATGCAGACAGGTCCACTAACGTCACCAAAAATACATCAACCATCACAAAGGAATCAACTTTCCTCCTACTTCCCTGCACAGATTTAACATTTGGGCAAAGTGCTGGCTGGGGAATTAGGAACCACTTCACGGAAGAGACATTCGTGATGGCGATATTTAGTTTCCAAGCCCAACCAAGCAAAGCCATTGGAAAGACCGTTTTATTTCCTCTTATTCGTGCCAGACTCACTGAAGTCATCATCTGATTAGTCACAAACGAAGAATGTGGCATCAAACGATCCATTATGTTTTCAGCAAATACAAACTACATTTCCGTGAAATTCCAGGACAATGGTTTTGACTGCATTGAACCAGAGAAGTTCAAAGCAGCCATGTATGTGCAAGCATTTGGGCATGCAAAAAATTCCCAAGTAGGAAAAGAATAATGGGCAAGGAATTTTGAATGGGAGAAGGAGGGGAAACACAGCAACTGGACGCTGAATTCACACATGTGGTCACGTTAAACCTTTGCTTGTGGGAAAAGAAAAAAAAAAAAAGAGGATTTTTTGATCAAGGGAATGGGTGCCAGAGCCCATGTGATAACTCTTTATGATAATTGTTGGGTTTTCATTGCCAAATGATACGTTAAAGGTAGAGAAATTCATGGCAACAAAGAAAATTAAAGCCTTTTTCCCCCTCTTTTAATGATCATTGGTACCTGTCAAGACTGTTCGGCTACATGTAACTACTACTCTGGAGCAGGATGGGAAAGCTAATTTGAGCTTCTGAAATATGTTTGGTGGCCTTCAAGGGAGGACTCTGTCGGCGGACACTGCACAAGAAGGGAGCAGCTTCCCCTTCACCTTAAATGAACTACTGACACGCTTCTAGAAACACCTAAGTTAAATCCTTTTAAAAACAACCAACCAACAAATCTCTAAATACTAGGAACTATGCACCCGGGGTAAGAATGGAAGAAAAGTCTTCTGGAAGAAACAAATCACTCCACAAGACAGCTTCTGTACTGTAAAGCTTCAGCTGAAAGTCACGCAATAAATGAATGACTCGGAGCCGCAGTTCTGCAGACAGCTCTGTCACCCATTTGGGGCGTGATTTCAGCTGGCCGTGCTCTTTCCTCTCTGTTTCCACTCTTTCTACCTGTAAAACAGGGTAATTACTTAACTTTCCGGAACATTTGTGGGTCATATCACAAATAGGTATAAAACTCTTCCAAAATCCTGAAAGCAAATGGTAGCAATAGCGTGGTGCATAGGATGTTGCTTTGAAAACATTCCCTACTTTCTGACCCATTCTTTTAGCTTCTGAAGGTGTTCGGGGAAAGAGGCAAAAGCAGCAGAGGACTTTGAAGTAGGGAGGGGAGAGCCTACTGTCACAGAAGAGCTACACCTTCTGAACAGCAAAAGCACTTGGTCACAACTCGAAGACTTCCTTGGTGAAACATCACGGCTGACATTAAACAGGACGTAGAGGGACGGGCGGTTCTGTGCTTTTTTTCAAAAGGTGAAACTCAGCTATTTTAATTTTTTTTTTTTTTTTCTGCAAAACCAGAGAACTTCTGGATTCCTTCATTGCTCCGTTTTTCAACTCGAAGACATGCTTATTTCAACTTCAATTCCAAAGGTCTGTGATCCTCTTTTACAAGAGTTATTTCAAACAAGGCATGTTTTACACATAGTTTGCAATGCTGTTTCTTCATGCAGAGAGGGCGTTATGGCAACAAGTGTAATGGATTCCGCTTGTGCATTTCTAGGCTGTATGTAAAAATGCGGAATATTAAAGAGGCCAGATGGGTTTGCTTAGGGTCAGCCTGACAGGATGTTTTTACATCATGCTGAGAATGCATTATATCATGTTGAGAAGGAAAATCAAGTGACAGGGATCATGAAACAAAGTGGAATAAATATGAAAGGGAATGAAAGAATAACAAAATATGAAGTTTTTTTTATTAGGAAAGCAAGTTTAAAGCTCTGGAGGGCTGACAGGTACAACCTCATGGGAAAAAAGTCTCAGCAACAACCACACCATCAAAAAAACCCAGCAATTACAAGTGCAAGGGCAAATCACACTTATTGTAAAGACAGTGCCTGACGAGAAAAATTTAGAATAGAATAGAATAGAATAGACTATTTCAGTTGGAAGGGACCTACAATGATCATCTAGTCCAACTGCCTGACCACTTCAGGGATGACCAGAAGTTAAGGCATGTTATTATGTCCAAATGCCTCTCAAACACTGACACACTGACAGGCAGCCTTGAGGCAGGGCCCGCCTCTCTAGGAAGCCTCTTCCAGTGTTTGACCACCCTCTCAGTAACAAAATGCTTCCTAATGTCCAGTCTGAAATTCCCCTGGTGCACATTACAGCCATTCCCACACGTCCCATCGCTGGATCCCAGGGAGAAGAGCTCAGCACCTCCCTCTCCACGTCCCCTCCTCAGGAAGCTGTAGAGAGCAGTGAGGTTGCCCCTCAGCCTCCTTTTCTCCAACCTAGACAAACCCAAAGTCCTTAGCCACTCCTCATAGAACATGCCTTCCAGCCCCTCCACCAGCTTTGTTTCCCTCCTCTCGACACATTCGAGGACCCTCACATCCTTCTTAAATTGTGGGGCCCAGAACTGCACACAGTGCTCAAGGTGAGGCCGCACCAACGCTGCATACAGCAGGATAATCACCTCTTCTGGTGATGCTGTGTCTGATGCACCCCAGGGTGCGGTTTGCCCTCTTGGCTGCCGGGGCACACGGCTCACCCGTAGAGAGCCTGCTGTCGACCAGCACCCCCAGATCCCTTTCTGCAGGGCTGCTCTCCAGCCACTCCTCTCCCAATTTATACTTGTGCCTGGCATTACTCCATCCTAGGTGCAGGATCCGGCTTTTGGACTTGTTAAATTTCATCCCATTAATCATAGCCCAATGCTCCAATCTATCTAGATCCCTCTGCAAGGCCTCCTGCCCCTCAACGCAGTAAACAGCACCTCCCAGTTTGGTATCATCTGCAAACTTGCTAACGGTGCGTTCAACTCCTGCATCCAGATCGTTGGTAAATGTATTGAACAGTGCTGGCCTTAGGATTGAGCCCCGAGGAACACTGCTGGTGACCGGTCTCCAGCCAGATGTAGCCCCATTCACTACAACCCTTTGATCTCTGCCCTTCAGCTAGTTCTCCACCCAGCGCACCGTGAACCCACTCATCCCACAGCTAGACAACTTGTCCAGAAGGATGCTGTGAGGG